AAGGATGGTGACAGGCTGCCCTCTGTGTGAATGGTGATAGGCTACCCTCTGTGAGGATGGTGATAGGCTGTCATCTGTGAGGACGGTGACAGAGTGTCATCTGTGGGGATGGTGAAAAGATCTCCTCTGTGAGGATTGCGTTAGATTGTCCTTTTTGTGGATGGTGAGAGGCTGTCCTCTGTGAGGATGGTGATAATGTGTTCTCTGTGAGGATGGTGATAGGCTGTTCTCTGTGAGGATGGTGATAGGCTGTCCTCTGTGTGAATGGTGGTATCCTGTCCTCTGTGAGGAAGGTGTTAGGCTGTCCTCTGTGTGGATAGTGATATCCTGTCCTCTGTGTGGATGGTGATTGGCTGTCCTCTGTGAGGATGGTGACTGACTGTTCCCTGTATGGATGGTGAGAGACTGTCCTCTGTGAGGATGGTGGAAGACTGTGCTCTGTGTCGACCGTGAGAGACTGTCCTCTGCGAAGAAGGTGAGAGACTGTCCTCTGTGTGGATGGTGAGAGACTCTCCTCTGTGTGGATAGTGAGAGACTGTCCTCTTTGTGGATGGTGAGAGACTGTCCTAAGTGTGGATGGTGAGAGTCTGTCCTCTTTGAGGATGGTGAGAGACTGTCATCTGTGTGGATGGTGAGAGACTGTCCTCTGTGAGGATTGTGAGACACTGTTATCTGTGTGGATGGTGAGAGACTGTCCTCTGTGATGATGGTGATGGGCTGTCCTCTGTGTGGATGGTGATAGGTTGTCATCTGCGAGTATGGTGATAGGCTCTCCTCTGTGTGAATGGTGATAGGCAGTCCTTTGTGTGGATTGTGATATCCTGTCTTCTCTGAGGATGGTGATACGCTGTCCTCTGTTCGGATGCTGATATGATGTCCTCTGTGTGGATGGTGACAGGCTGTCCTCTGTGTGGATCGTGATATGCTGTCCTCTGTAAGGATGGTGACAGGCTGTCCTCTGTGTGGATGGTGACAGGCTGTCCTCTGTGTGGATGGTGATAGGCTGCCCTCTGTGTGGATGGTGATATGCTGTCCTTTGTGAGGATGATGACAGACTGTCCCCTGTGAGGATGGTGATAGGCTGCCCTCTGTGTGGATCGTGATATGCTGTCCTCTGTAAGGATGGTGACAGGCTGTCCTCTGTGTGGATGGTGAGAGGCTGCCCTCTGTGAGGATGGTGATAGGCTGTCATCTGTGAGGACGATGACAGGGTGTCATCTCTGGGGATGGTGAGAGGCTCTCCTCTGAGAGGATTGTGTTAGATTGTTCTTTTTGTGGATGGTGAGAGGCTGTCCTCTGTGAGGATGGTGATAATCTGTCCTCTCTGTGGATGGTGATAGGCTGTTCTCTGTATGAATTGAAATATCCTGTAATCCGTGAGGAAGGTGTTAGGCTATCCGCTGTGTGGATAGTGATATCCTGTCCTATGTGTGGATGGTGATAGGCTGTCCTCTGTGTGGACGGTGATTTGCTGTCCTCTGTGAGGATGGTGAGAGACTGTCCTCTCCGAAGATGGTGAGAGACTGTACTCTGTGTGGATGGTGAGAGACTCTCCTCTGTGTGGATAGTGAGAGACTGTCCTCTGTGAGGATGGTGAGAGACTGTTCTGTGTGTGTATGATGAGGGACTGTCCTCTGTGAGGATGATGACAGACTGTCCCCTGTGAGGATGCTGATAGGCTGCCCTCTGTGTGGATAGTGATATGCTGTCCTCTGTGAGGATGGTGATAGGCTGCCCTCTGTGAGGATGGTGATAGGCTGTCATCTGTGAGGACGCACACCCCCCACCCCCCCCCCCCCACCCCCCCCCCCCCCCCCCCCCCCCCCCCCGTGGACAGAGTGTCATCTGTGGGGATGGTGAAAAGCTTCCCTCTGTGAGGATAGTGTTAGAGTGTCCTTTTTGTGGATAATGAGAGGCTGTCCTCTGTGAGGATGGTGATAATCTGTCCTCTGTGAGGATGGTGATAGGCTGTCCTCTGTGTGAATGGTGGTATCCTGTCCTCTGTGAGGAAGGTGTTAGGCTGTCCTCTGTGTGGATAGTGATATCCTGTCCTCTGTGTGGATGGTGATTGGCTGTCCTCTTTGAGGATGGTGAGAGACTGTCCTCTGTGAGGATGGTGGAAGACTGTTCTCTGTGTCGACCGTGAGAGACTGTAATCTGCGAAGAAGGTGAGAGATTGTACTCTGTGTGGATGGTGAGAGACTCTCCTCTGTGTGGATAGTGAGACACTGTCTTCTTTGTGGATGGTGAGAGACTGTCCTAAGTGTGGATGGTGAGAGTCTATCCTCTTTGAGGATGGTGAGAGACTGTCATCTGTGTGGATGGTGAGAGACTGTCCTCTGTGAGGATTGTGAGAGACTGTTATCTGTTTGGAAGGTGAGAGACTGTCCTCTGTGAGGATGGTGACAGACTGTCCTTTGTGAGTATGGTAAGAGACTGTCCTTTGTGAGGATGGTGAGAGACTGTCATGTGATGATGGTGAGAGACTGTCCTACGTTTGGAAGCTGAGAGACTGCTATCTGTGTGGATGGTGAGAGGCTGACTTCTGTGTGGATGGTGATAGGCTGTCTTCTGTGTGGATTGTGAGAGACTGTCCTCTATGAGGATGGTGAGAGACTGTCCTCTGTGAAATTAGCGAGACACTGTCCTCTGTGTGGATGGTGAGAGACTGTCCTCTGTGAGGACGGTGATATTCTGTCCTCTGTGACGTTGGTGATAGGCTGTCCTCTGTGACGATGGTGAGAGACTGTTATCTGTGTGGATGGTGTGAGACTGTCCTCTGTGATGAAAGTGAGAGACTGTTATCTGTGAGGATTGTGACAGACTGCCCTGTGTGAGGAAGTTGTGAGAGCGTTACCTCTGTGGATGGTTAGAGACTGTCCTCTGTGAGAATGGTGAGAGACTGTTATCTGTGTGGATGGTGAGAGACTGTCCTCTGTGTGGATGGTGAGAGACTCTCCTCTGTGAGGATGGTGAGAGACTGTACTATGTGAGGATGGTGAGAGATTGTTATCTGTATGGATGGTGAGAGACTGTCCTCTGTGAAGATGATGAGAGACTGTTATTTGTATGGATGGTGAGAGACTGTGCTCTGTGAGGATAGCGAGAGACTATCCTCTGTGAGGATGGTGAGAGACACTCCTCCTGTGATTATGTGAGGTTTTATTGATGACAGACTGTTCCTCTTTGATAGTGGTGAGAGACTGTCCTCTGTGTGGATGGTGAGAGGCTGACTTCTGTGTGGATGTTGAAAGGCTGTCTTCTGTGTGGATTGTGAGAGACTGTCCTCTATGAGGATGGTGAGAGACTGTCCACTGTGAAATTAGCGAGACACTATCCTCTGTGTGGATGGTGAGACACTGTCCTCTGTGAGGATGGTGATATCCTGTCCTCTGTGACGATGGTGACAGGTTGTCCTCTGTGAGGATGGTGAGAGACTGTCCTTTGTGAGGATGGTGAGAGACTGTAATCTGTGAGGATGGTGAGAGACCGTCATATGTGAGGATGGTGAGAGACTGTCCTCTATGTGGATGGCGAGAGACTGACTTCTGTGTTTGTGATGTTAAGCTGTCTTCTGTGTGGATACTGAGAAACTGTCCTGTCTGAGGATGGTGAGAGACTGTTCTTTGTATAGTTAGTGAGAGACAGTCCTCTGTGAGGATGGAGAGAGAGTGTCATCTGTGAAGATGGTGAGAGACTGTCCACTGTGAGCATCGTGAGAGACTGTCCTCTGTGAGGATGGTGACGGACTGTCCTTTGTGAGTGTGGTGAGAGACTGTCCTCTGTGTGGATGGTGAGAGACTGTCCTCTGTGAGGACGGGGAGAGACTGTAATCTGTATGGATGGTGAGAGACAGTCCTCTGTGTGGATCTTTATAGGCTGTCCTCTGTGAGGTTGGTGATAGGCTGTCCTCTGTGTAGATGGTGATAGGCTGTCCTCTGTGAGGATGGTGATAGGCTGTCCTCTGTGTAGATGGTGATAGGCTGTCCTCTGTGAGGATGGTGATAGGCTGTCCTCTGTGTGGATAGTGATATCCTGTCCTCTGTGAGGATGGTGAAAGACTATCCTCTCTGTCGATGGTGAGAGACTGACCTCTGTGTGGATGGTGAGAGACTGACCTCTGTGTGGATGCTGAGAACCTGTATTCTGTGAGGATCGTGAGAGACTACCCTCTGTGTGGATGGTGAGAGTTTGTCGACCGGGAGAGACTGTCCTATACGAGGATCGTGAGAGACTGTCCTCTGTGTGGATGGTGAGAGACTGTCTTCTGTGAGGATGGTGAGAGATATCCTCCTCTGTCGAGTGAGGACACTGACCTCTGTGTGTTGGTAGAGGACTGATCCTCTGTGTAGATGGTGGAGGACTGACCTTGTGTGGTTGGTGAGAGGACCTGTCTTCTTGTGAGATGTGAGAGACTATCCTCTCTGTTGATGGTGAGGACACTGACCTCTCGTGTGGATGGTCAGAGGGGGGGGGGTGGGGTTGCGGGGGTACTTGCCTCTGTGTAAGATGGTGAGACATGACCTCTGTGTGGTGGTGAGAACCAGTAATCTGTGAGGATCGTTAGAGACTGCCCTCTGTGTGGATGGTGAGAGTCTGTCCTCTTGGAGGATGGTGAGAGACTGTCCTTTGTGAGGATGGTGAGAGACTGTCCTCTACGAGGATCGTGAGAGACTGTCCTCTGTGTGGGTGGTGAGAGACTATCCTCTCTGTCGATGGTGAGAGACTGACCTCTGTGTGGATGGTCAGAGACTATCTTCTGTGTAGATAGTGAGAGACTGACCTCTGTGAGGATGGTGAGAGCCTGTATTCTGTGAGGATCGTTAGAGACTACCCTCTGTGTGCATGGTGAGAGTCTGTCCCCTTCGAGGATGGTGAGAGACTGTCCTCTGTGTGGATGATGAGAGACTGTCCTCTGTGAGGATGGCGAGAGACTGTTATCTCTGTGGATGGAGAGATGCCCTCTGTGTGGATGGGATGAGCGACTGTACTTCGTGAGGATGGAGAGGAGACTGTTCCTCTGTGAGGAGGTGAGAGACTGTTACCTGTGTGGATGGTGGGAGAATGTCCTCTGTGAGGTTGGTGAGAGATTGTTATCTGTGAGAATGGTGAGAGACTGTCCTATGTGAGGAAGTTGAGAGACTGTTACCTGTGTGGATGGTGAGAGACTGTCACGTGTGGATGTTTAGAGACTGTCGTCTGTTGTTAGGAGGGTGAGGGACTCTTATCTGTATGGATGGTGAGAGACAGTCTTCTGTGAGGATGGTGAGAGACTGCTATCTGTTAGGATGGTGAGAGACTGTCCTCTGTGAGGATGGTGAGAGACTGTTTTCTGTAAGGATGGTGAGATACTGTTTTCTGTGAGGATGGTGAGAAACTGTCCTCTGTGTGGATGGTAAGAGACTGTCCTCTGTGAGGATGGTGAGAGACTCTCCTCTGTAAGGATGGTGAGAGACTGTCCTCTGTGAGGATGGTGAGAGAGTGTTATCTGTATGGATGGTGAGAGACTGTCCTCTGTGAGGATGGTGAGAGACTGTTATCTGTATTGATTGTGAGAGACTCTTCTCTTTGAGGATAGTGAGAGACTGCCCTCTGTGTGGATGGTGAGAGACTGTCCTCTGTGAGGACGATGATATCCTGTCATCTGTGACGATTGTGATAGGCTGTCCTCTATGAGGATGGTGAGAGACTGTTCTTTGTGAGGATGGTGAGAGACAGTCCTCTGCGAGGATGGTGAGAGACAGTCATCTGTTAGGATGGAGAGAGAATGTTATCTGTGTGGATGGAGTAAGACTGTCCTCTGTAAGTATAGTGAGAGACTGTCCTCTGTGTGGATGGCGAGAGACTCTCCTCTGTGAGGATGGTGAGATACTGTTATCTGTGTGGATGGTTAGAGACTGTCCTCTGTGAGGAAGGTGAGAGATTGTTATCTGTGAGAATGGTGAAAGACTGTCCTATGTGAGGAAGTTGAGAGACTGTTACCTGTGTGGATGGTGAGAGACTGTCCTCTGTGAGGATAGTGAGAGACTGTCCTCTGTGTGGATGGTGAGAGACTGTCCTCTGTGAGGATGGTGAGAGACTCTCCTCTGTGATTATGGTGAGAGACTGTCCTCTGTGAGGATGGTGAGAGACTGTTATCTGTATGGATGGTGAGAGACTGTACTCTGTGATTATAGTGAGAGACTGTCCTCTGTGTGGATGGTGAGAGATTTTTTTCTGTAAGAATAGTGAGAGACTCTCCTCTGTGAGGGGGGGTGACAGACTGTTCTCTGTGACAATGGTGAGAGACTGTCCTCTCTGTGGGTGGTGAGAGACTGAGTTCTGTGTGCATGGTGATAGGCTGTCTTCTCTGTGGATATGGAAAGACTGTCCTCTGTGAGGATGGTGAGAGACTGTCCTGTGTATCGATGGTGAGAGACTGTCCTCTGTGAAATTAGTGAGACACTATCCTCTGTGTGGATGGTGAGAGACTGTCCTCTGTGTGGATGGTGAGAGACTCTCCTTTGTGAGGATGTGGAGATACTGTTATCTGTGTGGCGGGGGCATGGTTAGAGACTGTCCTCTGTGAGGAAGTTGAGAGACTGTTATCTGTGAGAATGGTGAGAGACCGTCCTGTGTGAGGAAGTTGAGAGACTGTTACCTGTGTGGGTTGTGAGAGACTGTCCTCTGTGATTATTGTGAGAGACTGTCCTCTGTGTGGATGGTGAGAGACTGTCCTCTGTGAGGATGGTAAGAGACTCTCCTCTGTGAGGATGGTGAGAGACTGTCCTCTGTGAGGAAGGTGAGAGACTGTTATCTGCATGGATGGTGAGAGACTCTCCTCTCTGAGGATAGTGAGAAACTGTTATCTGTATGGATGGTGAGAGACTGTACTCTGTGAGGATAGTGAGAGACTGTCCTCTGTGTGGATTGTGAGAGACTGTCCTCTGTAAGAATTGTGAGAGACTCTCCTCTGTGAGGGGTGTGACAGACTGTCCTCTGTGACAATGGTGAGAGACTCTCCTCTGTGTGGATGGTGAGAGGGTGACTTCTCTGTGGATGGTGTTAGGCTGTCTTCTGTGTGGATGGTGAGAGACTGTCCTCTGTGAGGAACGTGATATCCTGTCTTCTGTGACAATGGTGATAGGCTGTCCACTGTGTGGATGGTGAGAGACTGTCCTTTGTGAGGATGGTGAGAGACTGTCTTCTGAGAGGATGGTGAGAGACTGTCATATGTGAGGATGGAGAGAGACTGTTCTCTGTGTGGATTGGGAGAGACTGTCCTCTGTGAGTATGGTAAGAGACTCTCCTCTGTGAGGAAGGTGAGAGACTGTACTCTGTGAGAATGGTGAGAGACTGTCCTCTGTGAGGATGGTGACAGACTGTCCTTTGTGAGTATGGCGAGAGACTGTCCTCTGTGTGGATGGTGAGAGACTGTCCTCTGTGAGGATGGGGAGAGACTGTAATCTGTGTGGATCTTGATACGCTGACCTCTGTGGGGTTCGTGATATCCTGTCCTCTGAGAGGATTGTGAAAGCTTATCATCTGTGAGGATGGTGATAGGCTGTCCTCTGCTTACCTGGAGTTTACCTGGAGAGAGTTCCGGGAGTCAACGCCCCAGCGGCCCGGTCTGTGACCAGGCCTCCTGGTGGATCAGAGCCTGATCAACAAGGATGTTGCTGCTGGCTGCACGCAAACCAACGTACGAGCCACAGCCCGGCTGGTCAGGAACCGACATATAGGTGCTTGTCAGTGCCGATTGAAGGATGCCAGGGGTCTAGGAGTTTATTGGTAATCCCCTTATGTATGCTGGGAGGCAATTGAACAGTCTCGGGCCCCTGACACTTATTGTATGGTCTCTTAACGTGCTAGTGACACCCCTGCTTTTCATTGGGGGGATGTTGCATCGTCTGCCAAGTCTTTTGCTTTTCGTGTGAGTGATTTTCTGTGTGCAAGTTCGGTACTAGTCCCTCTAGGATTTTCCGGTTGTATATAATCATGTATCTCTCCCGCCTGCGTTCAGGGAATACAGGTTTAAGGAACCTCAAGCGCTCCCAGTAATTGGAGGTGTTTTATCTCCGGTTATGCGCGCCGAAGGATCTCTGTACATTTTCTAGGTCAGCAATTTTCACCTGCCTTGAATGGTGCTGTTAGTGTGCAACAATTTCCAGCCTAGATAGAACAAGTGACCTGAAGAGTGTCATCATGGGCTTGGCCTCCCTAGTTTTGAAGGTTCTCATTATCCATCATGTCATTTTTCTAGCAGATGACGATTGATACAATGTTATGGAAAGTCCTTGAATGTGAGATCCTCCGACATGATCACTCCCAGGTCTTTGACGTTGGTGGTTTCGGCTCTATTTTGTGGCCAGAATTTGTTTTGTATTCTGATGAAGACTTTAATTACCTCATGATTAACCATATCTGAGTAATTGAAATTTCCTCATCGATTGAACTTCATATTGTTTTCTGTAGCCCACTTGAAAGATTGGATTGATGTTCCGCCTGGAGCCTTGCAGTGTCTGCAATGGTAGACACTGTCATGCAGATTCGTGTGTCATCTGACAAAGGAAGACACGGTGCTGTGGATGAATCCTTGTCTATGTCGGATATAGAGGATGAGTGAACAAGAATTGGGAGCTGAACTGTGCCTTGTGGACAGGCTTTTCACCGTAGCTGCCTTGGTCTTTACTCTGTTGACGACTCTCTCTGTGTTCTGTTCAGAGAGGACAATTATAGATCCATCGTCCGACTTTTCCTGTTTATTCCATAGCAACCCATTTTCTGCGCTATTACGCATGGTCACACTTTCGAAGGCTTTTGCAAAGTCTGTATATATTTACATCTGCATTCTTTTTGTCATCTAGTGCATTTAGGACCTTGTCGTATGATCCAATACTTGAGACAGACAGGAGCGACCTGTTCTAAACCCATGTTGCCCTGGGTTGTGTAACTGATGGGTTTTCTAGAAGGGTGGTGATATTGCTTCTTTCTTATTAAAATTAAAGGACCCTTTCAAAGACTTTTATTATAGGGATGTTAGTGCGTATTGGTCTGTGTTATTTGCTGTTCTTTACTGCCCCCTTGTGGAGTGGGGCTATGTCTGTTGTTTTTATTAACTGTGGGACGACCCGTGTCCATGCTTCCTTCTCCATAGGATGGAAAAGGCTCGTGATAGGGGCTTCTTGCAGTATCTTGTTCTTTATATTTAATGAACACGGAGTTCCAGAGTCTGGCCTTGGCGAGTGCATTGGCATGTCATTTATCGCCAGTATTAGATGCTCATTTGGCGTCAGGATAAACATCGGATAGGCTTGTGTTAATCAAATTTTGTGGCTCTCCCATAAAAAATTAATTTTGGTTCTTTGACTCTCCCAGTTGGGTTAGCAGATGCTAAAAAACGAGTTCATATTGCGGACTTGAGTAGCTCACTTCATTTCCTGACTGTCATCTGTGTAGGACCCATCTTGTTTAAGTAGCAGACCCAATAATGGACGTTGTTTCCTCGACTTTGTTTGGCATAGGAGGAAGAAATACTTTGGGTTTCTTTCGATTGCTTTTATGCTTTTAGTTCTTCCCGCGATTCCTGACTCCTTATGATGCCTTTAGCTTAAGTTCGATGCTTGCTATTTCTATGACCAGCGTCTTCCTACGCATTTCAGATATATTGATCTTTTAGAGCTCTGTTATTCTTTTACCGTCGCTGTAAAGGGAGCGCTGTCTCTTTCTATTTTAACATCTATCCACCTATTTCTAGAGGAATAAGCTTGTGCATACATCGAGTGCCACCAAGTTAATCTGTTCTAGGCATAAGTTGGGGTCTGTGTTGCTTAGTATATCTTCCCAGCTTATATCGGTTAGGACTTGGTTTACTTGGTCCCACTTTATGTTTTTGTTATTGAAGTTGAATTTGGTGAATGCTCCCTCGTGACTAGTCTCATTATGTCGGTCTGGGGCTCCACGCATACATGTCTGAACCTCAATTATGTTGTGATCTGAGTATATTGTTTTTGATATGGTG